TGAGAATCTTTGTCTTCTTGACATTGAGCCTCAGTCCATACTGAAGGCTGTGGGGTAGAAGTCAGAAATATTTCTCTGTCCTGTTTCTTCACCAATACTGACCCCAGCCATTGGTCCCATGGCCCTCTCATAGCAGTCCTATGTCAACACAATGAACTACTGCCAGTCCAGCACTATTTTCACAATTGCTAATATCCCGAGGCCATTGCTGCAACCACAATGCCAATCCATTTTACTGAAAGGCTTCCTCTTCTTTTCAGTCTCTCTTGGTGGCAGATATTCCTTATTACTCCTTTGGATTGGCTCATTTTAAGCCTAATGGTATGGCAAAACTGACAACCTGCTTAATTAGATCTCTACACATCTTAATTGCATTATTAGTATAATATCTGATACCCTTTGTGGTAGCATCGTATTTACATAGTCTCACCCAAACATTTGGTGAAAGTTACAAGGCAAGGAGAGAAAGATCATATAAGTTAACCACCAAACTCGTTTATTAAAAAGCAATAAAAATCAAAACTTCAAGGAAAAAAAAAAACAAACCAAAACCAGGGGGGAGGGGAATGAAAGGGGAGAAACTTCTAGATAAAGAAATTTGACAGGAATGCTAGTCACAGAAAATGCATGAACTTTGTTCAAGCCTTTTAAAAACTTAGTTATGAGTGAATGATGAATAAGACTTATGGACAATGAGGTTGTTCTTGTAGCTTGCTGTCTAGTCAAGTATTACTCATTGCAGCCCTATTAAAAACAGATCTAAACTCTGTCCCATCCTCTGCCATCCTCATCATTTCTGATATATTTTATCCCATTGCTGCAGTTACTGTGTCAATCCACCTTGTTAAGGGTCTTCCTCTCTTTCACTGACCCTCTACCTTTCAGAGCATTATGTCCTTTGCAAGGAATATGCTCTTCTACTAACATGTCCAAAGTATGAGGTGAAGCCTCATCATCGTTGTCACTAAGGAGCACTCTGGCTGCTCTTTCTCTAAGACTTGTCTGTTTGCGCTTTCGGCAGTCCATGGGAAATTCGGTACTCTTTTCCAGCACTGTAACTCAAAGACATGACTCTTTCTTCTGCCATCCTTATTCACTCTCCAGCTCTCAGAGGAATAGTAGGTGAATGTAAGGTCATAGCTTGAATCAGGTGCCCCTTAGTCTTTAAGCTGACATCATCACTCTTCAGTACATTGGAGAGGCCCCTAACAGCAGACTTTCCTAGTGCTACATGTCTTTTGATTTCTTGACTGCTGACACTGATAACACTGTGGATCCAAGCAAGATGAGATCATTGTCAACTTCAATCTTGTTCCCACTTATTTGCCCAGTGGTGATGAACTTTGTTTTCTTGATGTTGAAATGTAATCCATATGGAAGGCAACCGTTTTAAATTTTCTATGAGTGTTTCAAGTCCTCATACTTTCAGCCAGCAAGACTGTGCCATCTGCATACCGAAGGCTGTTGATGAGTCTTCTCTAATCCTGATACCACATCCTTTTTCATAAAGCCCAGTTTCCAAATCATTTGCTCAGCATACAGATTTAACAGGTATGGAGAAAGGATACAGACCTGATGCAGTTCTTTTGTAATGTTAAACCATGCAATGTATCCTTGTTCTGTTCAAACAATAGCTTCTTGGTCTAGGTATATAGGTTTAGCATAAGCACAATTAAGTGCTCCCATTCTCCTCAGTGTTAGCCATAGTTTGTTATGATTTGCACAATCACATATGCTTTTGCATAGCCAATAAAACACAAGTAGAAATGTTTCTGGTATTCTCTGCTTTCAGCCAACACCCATCTTACATCCTTAGTATCACGGCCTCTTATAAATCCCTCTTGAAACTTCTGGCTCTTCTCTTATCATTGTACTTATTCTAGTCATTTCTGGATGATCATCAGCAACATTTTGCTTGTATGTGGTAATAACAATATTGTTCAATAATTTCCACATTCTGCTGGATCACCTTTCTTGAGAATAAAAAACAAATTCAAACTTCACGTTGTTAATACTGAAAGATGCTATGGGCAAAATCAGAATTATCCAGGAAGCATCAGAAAGAGGAAATACACAGAGTCACAACACCAAAAAGAGTTAACTAATACCAAAATATTTCAGTAAGTAGCATATAAGCAAAAGACAAGAGTGATGAGGGAACAAGTGCAAGCTGCACTGAAGCATGCATTGGCAAAATGTAAGGTCCCAGGAATTAATGGGATACTAATTGATATGCAGATGCAGCCCTGGATGTGCTTACCAAGAATCTGGACAACAGCTAATTGGCCAACTGACTGAAAGAAATGTGTATTTTTTCCCATTCCCAAGAAAGATGATCCAACACAATGTGGAAATTATCAAGCTATATAAAGAAAATCAGAACTACATATTTAATGACATTGGGAAATTATTGTTTTAAATCCACAGTACCAATTTTGTTTAAAATGTTATTTTTCAGAGATTTTTAACCCATAAAATTATGTAACATATTGGATTTGTATCCTAATTATCCAGTTGGGTGGATAGACAGTCAAAGGGAGTTGATTGGCATGCAGGGTGCATTATAACATGGGTACATTTCATCTCCTCCTGTGTGATTTAAAGCCTCTGAAAACCAGCTGGAGGGTCAGTTATGAGTCAATTCTCACTACGTAACACATACTAACAGTAAGAAAATCAAATTATGTTAGAAAAATTTTTAAAATACAATGTTTTAAAAAATTAAAAGTGATGAGGAAGACTTACCCTGCTGGATATCCTTCATTTCTAAATGCAAACTAGATATCAAGATCCCCACAGTTTGAGAACGTTTTCCATCCAATAGCTTGATGATCTGAAATTTTAAAAAATAGTAAAGCAAACTGAAACGGCTGCGCAACCTTTCAGAAAGTATACAAAAAATATTAAGATATTCAGATATCATGACTGATAGGCCAAATTGACACTACAGGCACTCTATTTTAATAAAAAGTATTTGTATTTGGAAGTAATACCCACCGTAGATAGCTAAGAAAAACAAGTGACACATAAAACCTAATCAGCCTTAGACAAGCATTATAATCGTTATCATTTCCTTTTATCTTTTTATTTCAAGGTTAATTAAGTTGTAACGGTAATGTATATATGTAATTGTATCTAACTTCTTCACTTATCAAACACAAATTTTCATGTTACTATATCTTAAGTCACTTCCTTGTCCCTGTTCTTAGCTATCTTGTCCATTGAAGAAGGTTCAATGGAACATTAGGATCTTAATTCAGATGTTTACCAACTCCATGACCTTGAATGGAGCCATGGTGGCAGAGTGTGTAAGCTCTCAGCTGTTAAGCAAAAAGGGAGCAGTTCAAAATTACTTGCATCTCTACAGAAGATGTGAGAGTTTTGTTTCCTAGTAATTCATAGCACTGGAAGCCCTATGGGGCAGTTGTCTTTCTCATAGGGTTTTAATGGGTTAGAATCAACTGAATGGCTGTAGATTTACTTTGGCATGATGCTGGGGAAATGACAACTCAGCAGATTTCAAGTTATTCATTCTAAAATACATTTTCCTACTTTAGACAGTTAAGTTGCTTCCTTTTGTTTTACTATAAATGTAAAACATAAATAAGATATTCATAAATATATTTTTCCATGATTAATATACAATGTTTGTGTAATATTTTGCACATAAAGCTTGAATTCTAAAGTATTTAATACTATTTTTGTTTAATAGAATGTACACATATATAAACTTTCATGATATTTTTAGAAACTTCAAATATGTTACTGACAATATTTTTAATCTTTATAAATATTCTGCGGGGAACTTTGCTCTTCTCTAAACTCAATAAAACAAATCAGCTTTTACCAACTTACCACAAAACAGCCACTAAGAAAAACCAAATATGTTTCTCATATCAGAAAGTTAAAAAAAAATCAATAAAAAGTACACACAAGACATCATCAAGATGTAGAAATGTTTTTAAATGCACGTTTCTGGCTAAAATACAAACTAAGCAGCTTGTCTCCCCTTTCACCTAGAAACATACAGACTTAGTGAAACAAACCTTAATTGAAGGAAATGTCTCTAGATGCACTGCTCTAAAAAACAGTCTTTTGTTGTTTGGGCAATAGGACACAATACGAGTTTATTCTAATCAAGATTATCTAACTGGCTAATTATAATTACCTTTCTATCAATCTACACTGAATACATTATAGGCTACCCTTTGTCTGTTTCCTCCTCAGGTTAGCTACTGTCACATAACAATTAGATCTAAAGTAAATAGTATGCTTTAATCAAGATGAAAGGAAAATTTGATTTTTCAGTCTAATGGGTTTAATCATTTCAACATTAGCTGTAGAAAAAGATCCTTAGGGAATACAAAATTTTATGAGTTTTAAAAAGAAAGCAAGTACTTTCTATTTTTAGTCATTTTTTTATGATGAAAGCAAAGAAGGAAAAGATTAAGCATAATCAAATATATTTTTAAACACTATTTCTTCCTTTTCAGCAGATAAAAAATAAAAAAACTCAAAACCACTAAAATCCCAAAAAGAAATCATTGTTGTCAACTTGAGTTAGACTCACAGTGAACTCACTGTGTTGTAAGTCTGTAAGGTGCTGTCAAGTCCTCTGCAACTCATAGCGACCCTTTCAACAACTTTCAAGCTTGTCCTATCCTAAGTCAAACTCACTGTTTTCAACACACCGGCCCTCATAACCTGTTACTGTGTCAATTCATATCCTCTAAGGTCTTCCTCTCCTGTGCTGTCCTTTCACTTATCCAAGCATGATGTCCTTCTCCAAGCACTGGTCCCTCCCAGCAACATGCCCAAAGAATACTGGACAGCTTCAAAATACTTGCCTCCAATGAGCAACTTGGTTTTACCTTCTCCAGGGCAGACCTGTTTGTTCTCTTGGCAATTTCAGTAGATTCAATACTCTTCTCCGGTACCACAACTCAAAGGTATCAATTCTTCTTCTATCATCCTGTCTAGTCATCGTCCACCTCTCTGTTGCATATCAAATAATTGTGAAGATCATGACCTCGATCAGGCACACCTTAGTCTCCAGAATGACACTGTTGCTCTTCAGCACTCTGGGGAAGTCCCTGACAACAGAGTTCTCTAATACAATTCATCTTTTGATTTCATGACTGCTAGTGTCGAGAGTGTTGATTGTGGAAATGAGCAAGCTGAAATTGTTAACAATCTCAATCTCTTCTCCACCTATCATGATGCTGCCAAATTGCCTAGTGGTGACAATCTTTGTCTTCTTGATGTTGATATTGATCAATACTGGAGACACAATCCTTTATCTTCTTCAGCAAATGCTTCAAGGCCTTCTCAGTTTTGACAAGCCAGGTTTGTATCATCTGCATAATCCAGGTTATTGATGAGTCTTCCTGCAATCCTCATACCACATTCTTCCTCACAAAGTTCAGCCTACCAGATGATCTGTTCCACAAACAGATTGGAAAGGTATGGAGATAGGATGCATCCCTGACACACTCATCTCTCAATTAAGAACCATGCAGTGTTTCCCTGGTCTATTCTAACTAACAACTGTTTACTGGTTCAAGTACAGGTTTTGCATAAACATAATTAGATGATCTGGGATTCCAAAATGTCTTTGCATAGTTAATGAAACACAAGTAGACATTCTTATGGTACTCTCTACTTTCAGCCAAGATTCATCTGTCATCGGCTATGATATTCCTAATGCCATCTTCTCTTCTAAACCCAGCTTGCACTTCTGGTAGTTCTCTGTCAATGTACTGTTTTGGTAGTGTTTGGTTAACCTTCAGCAGGATTTTGATTGTGTATCATATTAGTGATATTATTTCCACACTCTGTTGGATCATCTGCTTTTAAAATGGGAATAAATATATATCTTTTCCAGTCAGTTGCTGTCTTCCAGATTTCTTGGTACAGCCTAGTGAGCAGGTACAGAGCGGCATGTGTTTGCTGAAATATGTCAATCGGTATGCTATCAATTCCTGGTGCCTTCAACTTCCTCTTTAATCATCATTGCCTCTTGATCATATGTTGTCTCATTAAATTCTTCTGTGTCAACTAATTATTTTTGTTACCGTGACTATGTGTACTGCTTCCGTCTTCTTTTGATACTTCCTATATCATTCAATATTCTGCCCATATTATCCTTAAGTAATGCAACTCAAGGCTTGAATTTGTTCTTCAGTTTAAGAAAAGGCAAGCGAGTTCATCACTTTTGATTTTCTGACTACAGCTCTTTGGCACATTTCATTAAAATACCTTGCTTTATCTTCTCAAGCTTCCCTTTGAAATCTTTTGTTCAGCTCCTTAACTTCCTGATTTCTTCTCTTTGCTTTGGCTTCTCAGTGCTTTAGTGCAATATTCAGAGTCTTGTCTTTCTCCTCTGTCTTTGTATTGACCTCTTGCATTCTTCCTGGATGATATTTTTGATATTCTCCCATAGCACATTTAATTAATTAATTAATTAACGTTTAAGGCCTCAAACTTGTTCTTGAGATGGTTTTTAAATTCAGGTGGGATAGACTCAAGATAAAATTTTCTCGTGGATTTTATTTAATTTTCTTTCACTTCAGCTTGAGCTTGCATAGGAGTAACTTATGGTCTGTTCACAATCAGCACCTGCCCTAATTTTCACAGCTGATATTGAGCACCTACAATGATTCTTTGAACAGATATAATTGATTTGACTCCTGTGAAGACCATCAGGTGAGGTCCATGTGTATAGTCTCCATTTTTTTATCTTATAGGAAGTATTTGCAATGAACAAATCATTGATAGTACAAAATTCTATCATTCTATCTGCAGCCTTGTTTCTGCCACCAAGGCAAAGTTTTCCAACTTCTGATCCTTCTTCCCTTTTCCTGTTACATTCCAGTCACCCATTAATATTAATGCATCTTGCCTGCATGTTCTATCAATTTCCAACTGAAAAAGCTGGTAGAAAACCTCTATTTCCTCTTCTTTGGCTCTGGTGCGTATGTTTGAATGCATAGTGGTATTAACAAGTCTTGCTTGTATGTGTATGAACATTATCCTTTCAGTTACAACACTGCATTTCAAGAATTCTAGAAATGGTCTTTTTAAGAAAAGTTTATTTAGAAATGGTGTTTTTCTTTAACTTTTCATTTACAGCATAGTAGATCATATGATTTTTTTTTGACTCAAGATCTGCCTTGCTAATATCTCACTTCGCCAATGCGTGGTATGTCAATATTTATGTGTTCCATTTCTTCTTTTACAATGCCCAATTTCCCTACATTCATACTTTTCACATTCTACAATATAATCTCTAGTGTCTCTTTATAACTATTCCTCTTCTTTTGTGATTCTCAAGATGATGACTTAGCCCTGGTAACACATATGCTAGTCTATTCTAAGCATGCTCTATGGTACATAGGGTTTTCGAAGGCCTGTTGTTTCGGAAGTGGGTGGCCAATTCTTCTTCCTAGTCTGCCTTAATTTATGTCAAAAAAACTTTTGCATTGGAAAAGTGTGCTGTCAGGGACCACTCCAGAGTCCTAAAAAACAATGATGCCAGTCTAGAGACTATAGCCTCTTTAACAAATGGTGTTGGAAAAATTGGATGACTGTCTGCAGAAAACTGAAATAAGATCCACACCTCACACTGTATACAAAAAAAACAACGAAGAGCGGATCAAAGACCTAAGTGGAAAACTCAAAAACTATAACAATCACTAGAGAAAATATAGGAACAAATTTAGAATTCTTAATTCATGGCATGGACAGGGTTCAAATATATTTAAGAATTCACAGACAAGAGAGGATAAAATAGATGTATAGACCTTCTAAAAACCAAAACCTTGTGTACATAAA